AAAGTGTCGATTCCCATCAAAATATACAAATTTATACAATATATAACCATCGATTTATACATAATAGCATATTAGCATCCTTAGTTTGTAAGTAAAAACGAAATATATCTTCGTGGGGGTGGAGGGAGGAGTTGTATAATTTTCCATATAAGAACTTTAATCTCTAAAAGAGGCTAATATGTCAAGAGTAGGATGCTGCAAAATGAAATATTTTGGTTTTGATTTGATTTATTGGATAAAGTGGGTTAACTTTGAATAAAGTTGATTGAGTGGAGGATTTATTGGGATTTTTGTTTGTATTTAAATAATATTAAAAATGTAATGATTAAAGTTGATGTAACGTTAAAAGTAGGAGAATGGTGATTTGAAATGATGGATAGTTAAAAATATATAAGCGAATAAATAATGAATTTTGTTCATGTGATGTGTGAGGATGATTGATTGCTAGTATTTAATTATACTAATCAAACATAGAAGGGTTAAGTTGGATTAAGCTTGAGTTGGATTTTGGGTTAAAAAAAGTGTATAAATTATCTGGTCAGTCAAAACTAAAAAACCAGTTCCTTCTTGTTTCCCATCACCCCCTATTAAAAAAAAACATATCAACGGGTAGTTTTGATGGGTTGAGCATGCAAAATCACTTCATAGAAACATTGAGGTTTTAGTAAGTAGCAAGCAGAAAGAGGGATTACATACAGTGGACAGCTTGTTGAGTGTGCCATCAATATGAACAAAATAAGCTTCCAAGAGCATCTCAAGCTCCGCCACATCAAGATTTTGATGGGTCCCACGACTGCCTCTGCTCAAAACATTAGGGCCACCGAATAACTGTTCCCTGCCGCTGTCAATTCTATGGCGATCAGCATCTAAACCCTCATTACCTTCCATCAATATTTCAGCAGGAGTCCTAGAATTGGAAATGCAAATGCAATTGTGTATATTTTCGAGAAATATTCAGATTAACTGAGATAAGACGACAAAGGGTTTTAAATTTTTTGCGTGCCTGTCATCAATGTTTGCATCATCCAACTCATCTGGCTCTTGCTCATCCATGGAAGTAACAGAGGAGTTCTCTAGCTGTTCCTGCAGTTTGTCGGTCAAATACATTTCTGCCATGTCATCATCGTCATCAAGCAAATGCTCCAGCTCATCCCTCACCTGATATAACATAGTTGGAATATAACTAGTTGAACAAAAATTAGTAGCGTCTCAAAGAGGGCTACAACTGTGTGAATGATATCACGGTAAGGAAACAAGAGACAATCAGCAAGAGTTGGTGAAATAATATATTTTCTGTAGAATTTGATCCTTTGAACTTAATTTCCCGTTGGACAAAATGAGTCAGAACTTGTTGGACATACATATGCAAAGAAGTAAGACAACTAAAAGCTACAAAGTACCAGGAAAAAAATTCGTTTTGGTACTAATAAACTTTTATGTTGTTAGGTAAGGTATCCCTGTTCTACCATTGACAAAATAAT